AGATGCGGATGAGGTGGAAGATCAGGTGGTAGATGAAGGTGCTGGTGTTGGAGAATGGTTAGGCGATGCCGTCGCGAACTTCGAGGAGGAAGACTCTGCACCGGTGGAACCTGCACCAGTTCTGGAGGCAGAGGTGTTGAAAATCCAAGCTTCTGAAAAATCCTGGAAGGAACTGAGGGACCATTTGACCCAACCTGTCCGTATGATCAACTTCGTTATGGTGGAGCCGATTGTGGATAAACAGCAAACAACTGTTTTGTCGGCGGTTCAAAGAATGATGGTGCGCTTGCAGAGACATGGGTATCCGGTGTTGAGAATCCACTCAGATCGAGCGGGGGAGTTTGTCAATGCACGCTTCCGGTCCTTTTGTGAAACTCGTCTGATATACAGGACCACTGGTGATCCTGGAGTCCCGCAAACGAATGGGCGCGCTGAAGCATGTGTGGGTTTATTCAAACGTGGTGTGAGGTCGCTCTTAAAGGAGGCGCGACTCGGGCCGGCGTACTGGGCACTGGCTGCTCGCCATTGGTCAATGTTACGGTGGCAGAAAGCTGAAAGGGAGTTGGGTTTGAAACCGAAAGCATTGCTTCCCTTTGGTGCTCAGATTCAAGTCAAACGTCGTCCGTGGGAGTTGCTGGGTCCGGATGGAACAAAGAAAGGTCGGCAATGGGTCGATCGTACGCAGCCCGCGCTTCTTTTGGGTCCATGCGATGACCTACCTGGTGGTTATTGGGTGGAAGCTCAAGGGACTGCCAAAGATCCGGATGAACTGGTGTTATCTCCCTGCACTACGATTTTTTCCAATATAAAGGAACCACCTGCATTGGAGCTGGAAGGGGTGGTAGAAGAACAGGAGCCTTCTCCTCCGGAGCATCGTCTCAAGGGGAAAAAACCAGCGCTTCGGTTCGCTGATGAGGAAGGTCCTGCTTTACCTCCACCTCGCGATCCTCCGGCTCACCGTCGGTTAAAAGAAAAAGCCCGGCCTCTTCACTGCGTGGTCATGTGGGCTCTTTGCGCTTGCTTCGCAAGCGGGGGGAGAGTCCGCCCTTAGAAATTTTCGAGGATGACATGCAGGGTTTGGGGGAGCTGGAAGAAAATGCAGATGTTGAGGACAATGTTCCTGGTGATGAGTATTGGCCGACATGCTGTTCTCCTCATGAAAATGCTTATTTGGTCTGCAAAAGTGAGACTGCCGAGGATGGAACACAGTTGGAAAAAGAAGAACAAAAAGCCAAGTCAATGTATGAAAGGTCTATGTATGATTACGTGGACTGTGAGGAGCTTTTGGAAGGGATTGTGTACCCAAAGAGGGTGAATCGGAGAGGTGGTATCAACAATTGGTGCACAAGTACGCGAGCTCTGGTGTTGGGCCACTATACTCATGGCGGAGTGTGTGGTATTACAAAGGAGACCCATCGAAGGCCATGGCTACGTCGTTATTTGACATCATTTGTGAAGCACCACAATCCTGAAGCCAAATTTTCTGCTCTTCAGATCTCGTGCAATGCTCCGGTATCATTGCATAGGGATAGTCACAATGAAAAGCATTGCTGCAATTATGTGTGTGGCTTTGGTGACTATAAAGAGGGTCAGCTGTGGGTTGAGGATGAAAAGGTTTTGGAGGAAGGAGCTGAAGTGGTGGAGCAATCCTATGGGAAGAAAGTCTTACCTGGAAAATTGGTGGATATCCACTGGAACTTCATGTCGTTCTTTCCGAGAAAACTGCATGGTCCTATGCCTTGGAAAGGGAACAGAGTATCCTTGACAGGGTACACACCTGTTTTTATGGAGCGATTGAGCTACAAGGATAGGTGCTATCTACTCCAATGCAAGTTTCCTCTTCCGGAACCACAAGCTGAAGAAGGTGAAAAAAGGAAATGGTTAAAAATGACGCTGAGAGAAACCTCGCTGGACGACCTTGCAGAGGAAGTCGACTACGCTGTGTTTGAAGCGCATCAATGGGCTCTAGAAGAGCATTTGAGTATTCGACGCCTAATTGCTGAACAGGAATGTTGCATTTTGGACGAGTTCCATGGATCGGCCAATGAGTCGAATGATGAAAAAGGATCGGAGACCAGAGAATGGCTGGTTAAAGCAAAAAGGGCTGAGGAACAGCTCTCGAAGTTTTTGGTCAAAGCAGCTCAAGTTCAGCAAGTGGTACAAGAGAATACTGCGCTGGAGGCAGCGGAGGAGGTCGAGTTCCTGCAAACAAAAACAATCCCTACACAAGAAGCCATGCAAGAGCTGGAGAAGTGGAGGGAATCATTGTCGGACGAGGTGAAGTCTTTGGTTAAAGAGTTGGAAGTGGTGGAACCAACAACTCAAGAAAAGCTGGACAAATTGGCGGAAGAGCCTAATGCACCGGTGATTGAGTACGTTCCCAGTCTGGTGGTGTTTACCCGAAAGCAAGGGACAGGGAGGAGGCGTGCCCGTATCTGTGCATGTGGGAACTTTATTTCGTCAACGGCAGCTACAGAATACGAAGGGCCAAGGTCCCTCAGTCGTCACTCGCTGTACGCTCCAGGTTTAGATTCAACTACATTTAGGTGCCAAGTGAGGCACGCAGCACATATGGTGTGGATCATCGCTGGCTTAGACATCTCCAAAGCTTTTCTGACGGCGCCGATGAATAGGGCGCAAAGAGAAGGGCGTTTGGTGGTGGTGCAGCCCCCAAGGGCGGCGGTGAAATTGGGTCTTTGCACAAAAGAGGAGCGGTGGATTGTGAGGAAGGCCTTGTACGGTTTGGCCGAAAGTCCTGCAGCATGGGTGGAGTGGCGAGACCAACGTCTTCAAGGCATGTCTTGGGTGTCAAAGGATGGACAAGCAATGAGCTTTCAGAGGTCCAATGCAGACCCAAGTCTGTTCCTTATTATGGCACAAGAGAAGCCGGAAGGTGCAAGCAAGTTGGTAGGGACAATGGGTCTTTACGTGGATGATTTTTTGATGGCTGGGACTATGACAGTGCTCCGGGAAGCCTTGGAACAGATCAGGAAGGAGTGGAAAACTTCTGAACCCGAGTTCTGTGGTCCAGGCTGTGGTGATGGATTCCTGAAGTTTTTGGGTGTCCAAATCTGGTACCGAAATGGCAGCTTCTTTCTCAACCAGGAGGACTTTGTGAGAGATTTGCTGAACCGAAGAGGGTATCAGATTGATGAAACTGGAAAAGGTAGTAACCTGCCAATGGTGAAAGAAACTCCAGGTGAAGAAGAGGAGGTGGATATTCCCTCCTTGCGAGCGGCTCAAGGTGCCGTAGGGGAGTTCCTCTGGGTGGCAATCAAAACTCGACCTGATTTGGCTTTCTGCACAAGCCAGTTGTCTTTGTGGACATCCCGAAGGCCGCGATTTGTGGTTAAAAAGGCTGAGGAGGTATTTCGATACCTTGCTGCAACTCCAACGTTAGGCCTGACGTTTGGTGCAATCGCAACATGCGAAAAAGAAAGGAATGAGGTGTTGCGTTATGGGCGAGGCGTCAAGGTGGTGGAGTCTTACGCGGATGCTAGCTTTGCAGCAGGTGAAAACGAAAAGAGCCACTCAGGAGCGGTGGTGGTTTGGGGTGATTGTCCAGTGATGTGGGCAACGCAGAGACAATCAACGGTGGCTTTGAGCACTGCTGAAGCTGAATTGCATGCATCTATAGAGGGAGCAACGATGATCCAGTCGTGTACCCCTATAATTGCCGCTTTGGTTGGAACAGGTGAAGAATCGCTGCAAAAGGTGCTGTATACAGATTCGGTTTCGACGTGTTCAATCATTCAATATCCTGCTGGTAGCTGGAGAACAAGACACCTGAGAATTCGAGCAGCTGGTGTCAGGTCTCTGGTGGACCGTGGTTACATGGTGATAGCGCATCTTCGTGGTGAGTATATGATTGCTGACCTGTTGACAAAATTGATGAGTGGACAGGTTTATGCAAAGCAAAAGGCACTTTGGGGTCTCCAACTGTTAGTGCAAGGAACTGACTTGAAAAGGGCCTCTCTTGCAATGGCGGTCATGATGGTGGCTGCATCCCTGCAAGGGATGGCAACAGGTGGAGAAGAAGTGTCAGCTGCTGGTTTCTTTTGCTCAGAAGAAGGGGTGTGCCAGGTCGCCAACACATCTACGGCTATGGTTCTGGCTCAAGGCATTGAAATGGTTATCAACAATTCAGACCTTGTTGCGTATTTGGTGGCAGCAATCATAATCTGGGAATTGACATGGTGCCTCTTTCGGCGGCTGTACAAATGGCTGTGGATCAAGAAAGTGGTGGTTATTCCTGCGAGTGCCACTCTGTATACAACAGTGGGTGGGAACTGTATGCACGCAAGCAGTGATTGTGATGTTCTGCGATATTCACAGCCCAGGGCTAAGACGCTTTGCAAGCATTGCCTCAAGGATGGCTGGGTGGTGAATGCTGAGTTCCTTGGTGAGGAACGGGCCGCTGGAACATAAACTTTTTCAAGTTCGAGGTGAAGAAATCCTCAGTGGTAAGGGATTCGGCCAATGAGCTGAAGGGGCGTCCTGGAAGACGTAAAACCATAATGTGCACGTCAAGCAGCAGGCTACTGCCCTAATGGCAGTTTTTGGCCAAAGATCTGCATCTCCAATGTGTCCTAGGAAATCCTAGGACAGGGGGAGTGCGGAGCTGCAACTGGTATTGTAGAAAGAAGTTAGTGTTGGGTGTTGAAAGGGTCAATGTACCCGGGAATCTCTTATGGCTCAAGACTGGGCCATGTGCCTGGTAGTAAAAGGTGAGTGCCCTGTGGTTTGGGTTTGTTGTGTGGTTGATCCAGGGAAATCAAGGGATTCTGTTGGGGTTGACTTTTCGGTTTCTCGTCCCCCTTCGGGTTCCCCCCGTACCCTAAACCCTAAACCCTAAACCCTAAACCCTAAACCCTAAACCCTAAACCCTCCAAACAGTCTGCCCAAATCGCTTCGGGGCTGAGGGCTAAAACACGCTCGGCCTCCGAACGTGAATAAGCCCTGAGCCCACTGAAAGTCTGAAACCAAAGAGACAGCCTCAGGTGTCATACCTGCAGCGGCTGCATGCGCCCCTCGGAACATGATACGGCAACCTGATGATGTCTAGACTCTCCAGAACACGAGAGTGCAGCGATAAGGGAGCATCCAGAGTCCCAGCATCTGGCACTCCATGCTCTGTGAGCAACTGGTGTACGTGCCGTAGATGAGAAGCCCTCAGATTTTGTCGGTTTTTCAAGTTCTTCTTGCCTCATCTCTTTCACGTATGGTAAGCGAGGTCGAAGGCATCCCGAAGCGTCAGGTTCAGTACTTAAGGAAAGTGACTACCGGTGCAGCTCTTCCTGCTCCTTCGTGTGGAATGAGAGGTCCTACATGTCTCGGAAAGCTGAGCCGCTTGCTGTACTCTTCCATTCTTGCTAGAACCCTGAAATCTGCAACCGGCCCCGCAAACGCAAGAACGAGAAGACATCCCAAAACCCTAAACCCGAAACCCCAAACCCCAAACCCCAAACCCTAAACCCTAAACCCTAAACCCTGTGTCAGCAACCAAGGGCCAAAGGACAGCCGGCTGCATCCATCGACCTGGAAGAGATTGAGAAGTGGTGGCCGGCAAAGGTTTAGATGGATGTTGGGGTGGTCTCCCTGCCCCAGAGAATCCCGCCCCCAGAGAATTGTGCAGAGAGGGTTTAGGGTTTAGGGTTTAGGTTTTAGGGTTAAGGGTTTAGATGGATATTGGGATGTTCCCCTTATACCAACGTCCCTGGAGTGGCCAGCCCCAGAGAATCCCGCCCCCAGAATTGTGCAGATGGGGTTTAGGGTTTAGGGTTTAGGGTTTAGGGTTCGAAGCCTCAGCGAATTACTTATCCCGAAACAGCAGGATGGCTCCCGTATCGTTAGCTGTAGGGTGACAGTGATGATCGAAGTAATAATTTTAACGCTACGCGACCCGCCTCGGCCCGGCCCAGCGCATGAGCATGGTGATTCCGCAGCGCCCAAGTCGCTGGACCCCAAGCAATAAGGGTTGGGTTGAGGGTTGAGGGTTGAGGGTTCCGGGTTTATGGTTTGGGGTTTGGGGTTGAGGGTTAGTTTAGGGCTCAAGGTTCACGCTTTGGGGTTGAGGGTTTTTTTGGGAGAGGGGGGTGGGGGGGGGGAAATGGGGGGCAGGGGAGGGGAGGGGGGGGGGTGGGGGGGGGGGTGTGGGGGGGGGGTGGGGGGCGGGGTGGGGGGGGGTGGGGGGGGGGGTGGGGGGGGGGGTGGGGGGGGGGTCGTGAACAACGGCGGGGGGTGTGGGGGAGGATTTGGAGGGGGGTGCCTGTTCTGACAACCTATACACCTCCGGCCCAAGGCCTCGGCGGATTTCTTCGCCGCAGCCCTAAAACCCATACTAAGGGTGCGGACTAAACCCTTAAAACCCTAGACCCTAGACCCTAGACCCTAGACCCTAGAACCTAGACCCTAGACCCTCGACCCTAGACCCTAGACCCTAGACCTAGACCCTAGACCCTAGACCCCAGACCCTAGACCCCTAGACCCTAGACCCTAGACCCCTGACCCCTAGACCCTACTAGACCCTAGACCCTAGACCCTACCCCCTACACCCTAGACCCTACACCCTCGACCCTAGACCCTAGACCCTAGACCCTAGACCCTAGACCCTAGACCCTAGACCCTAGACCCTAGACCCTAAACCCTAAACCCTAAACCCTACACCCTACACCCTAAACCCTAAACCCTAAACCCTAAACCCCATTGCCGAGTCGGTTTCAACACCTCGATGCAAAGCTTCCGGTCCTGACCGGAGCTGCTCAGGTGGTGGTACCACCATGTCTGCGACGAGATTCATGAGCTGCCGACACCAGCAGGCGGTGTGGCCTCACAATATAGGTCTTCTGAGTGCTACTAGTAATCTGAGTAATATTCAAATGTTCAGAGTATGAAGAAATATTCAAAATGTTCACGATGTCAATAATATTTCTAAGAATACAGATGGCAGCTTGAAGCACTTGAAGCACGCGTAGATGTGCGAGCCCTTCGAAGACTTGTCTTGCATGGCAGGTTGGGAGGAGGACGTGGAACAATCCCCCGACAGGCTCTCAGAAACACGGTGCTCGTAGCGCAGATTCCCACAAGTCCTCCAGAATCTTCGTGCTTGTCGACCAGAATCCCAGATCATACATCAGACTGAGGAGATTGGGTTGAGATCTTGTGGGCTGTGCAGCCCTTAAGAGGCTCATCTTGCAGAGCTCTGGAAAGCTAGTCGTTTTCTCAACCTTCTTCAGCCTCGAAAACCCTAAAAAAACCGCCGTGCCGTCAAGGATCCGAACCCCAACCTCAGCGCGGAGGCCCAGCGCCTCTTCAAGGCATCTCGGCCCGAGGGTTATGGCTTTAGGGATACCTGGAAATAGTTGTGTTTTTTGGGTATCATTCCTAAGAAGCAGCTAAAAATCATATATTTTTTGCTAGGTTTCCAAGTTCAGTGTAGGTGGAGGTTGTGGAGTGTTTAGGCTTTGACTACCCGCAGGCTCTTTTGGGGCTTGTGGATCAAGTTGGCGCTAGGGCATGCAGGAGTTTTGAGAGTTGTGACTTAAGCTTCAGTGCACTTCCGGTTCTCGGGGGGGGGGAAAGCTTTCAGAGTGTAGGGGTCTCGCGTGCAGGCGCTGTGTCCAAGTGGTTTTATGCTGTTGGGGGTCGCGGGATTCCCGTTGGGGACGGAGGTGTCTGGGCCAGGGCTTTGAGATGGGTATTTCCAAAAAAGGGGGGGGGGGTGCCCTTAATATACCCCAAAATAGTATAATCCTTATAAAGGGAACCCCCAAAAGGGTACCCCTATTTTAAGAACCCTCGAATGTGGCACCGAGGGGGTTCAGGTTTTTGTGCCTCGAGGCAGGCGTTGAAGGGGATTCCTGGCCAGGAGATCTATCCTAGGTAGGATAAGGGAGACCAACCCCTTCTTAACCCTCTTATTCACAGGGTCTAATTATGGCCCCAAGGGTCCCCGAATCCTCCCCTAGGCCGAGATTCGTAAGCTCACAACATGCCCCGTCTGGCTCAGCTTTATGGGGGAACGTAGGACGCAATCGCTTTTGGTTGCAGGTGCAGCTCCGGCAGAAGTTATGGAGCAACACAAGCCCTCAATATAACCTTAAACCCCTAAACCCCGAAAGCCCTAAAGCCCTAAAGCCCTAAAGCCCTAAACCCCAAAACCCCTAAACCCCTAAACCCCTACACCCCTACACCCCTAAACCCCCAAACCCCTGAACCCCTGAACCCCTAAACCCCTAAACCCTTACACCCCTAAACCCCTAAACCCCCAAACCCCCAAACCCCTAAACCCCTAAACCCCCAAACCCCTAAAACCCTTCACCCCTAAACCCCTAAACCCCTACACCCCTAAACCCCTAAACCCCCTGAACCCCTAAAACCCTTCACCCCTAAAACCCTAAACCCCTTGAACCCCTAAACCCCTAAGCCCCGAAACCCTAATATGGTGGCTTGACTGAAGCCTGTGCCATGAGTGCGCCTCTGGATGCTGCCCCAGCCACCGTCGGACTGTGGGGCTCTGGGCTCAGAGGGGTTTAGGGTTTAGGGTTTAGGGTTTGGGGTTTGCTCAAAAGGGTTTAGGGTTTAGGGTTTAGGGTTTAGGGTTTAGGGTCTCGGGTTTAGGGTGGTCTCGGCCCTAGAACGCTTGTGATCCCAGATCCCTTTTGCTTTTTGCTCCGGCGCGCCAGGTCCTGCTTCCGGGGCGCGTGCGGCCATCAGAGCCCTTCGGCTCTGGGTTCTTTAGGGTTTAGGGTTGACTGTAGGGCTTAGGGGGTTAGGGGTTTCGGGGTTTCGGGGTTTCGGGGTTTAGGGGTTTAGGGGTTTAGGGGTTTAGGGGTTTAGGGTTCAGGGTAGTACCCGGCTGGCTGCAGAGACCTGGTTGCAAAAGGGTTCAGGGTTGAGGGTTTAGGGTTTGAGGTCTTCCCAAAACCGAAGCTCGAAACCTCAAGCTTCAGGCTTCCAATATAGCGACCCAGGCCTGGTGGCAGCGGCCTGCGAGTTAGGACTTGAGAGGCCAGGCGCTCCAACTTCAAGCGAAACTAGGGTTTAGGGTTTAGGGTTTAGGGTTTAGGGTTTAGGGTTTAGGGTTTAGGGTTTAGGGTTTAGGGTGAAACAAGGTGGAAGCGCAAACTAATTTCCAGAGCTTGTCGATGCTCAACACATCTCAAGACAAAGAGCCACCAAGCGCCAAAGTCACAAACTCAAGGCGCGCCTAAAGAGGAGCTTGTTTCCGAGGGGTTGCATGAGGAATGATGGGGAACAAGAAGGGAACCTGTGCCGCCGTTAGTTTCCGAATCGTGGCCTAACCTTCCAGCAGCAACTCTCACGCCCTTTTTTATGCCGGTCGCGAGCTCCGCAACTCTAGGTGTGGGTTTAGGGTTTGGGGTTTAGGGTTTAGGGTTTAGGGTTTCGGTGTTCCGGGCCCAGATCGGTGCACCATATTGGTTTGGAGACTTTGGAGACCCTGCCAAGTCAAAGCGCTTAACCAAAGGTTCACTTGACAACATGTGTCGAAGCTACCAAGCCCATGTCTGCCACACATGACACGCAGACTCGTCCATGGGGGGTCGAGCCAATCCCTTTTGCGCCTCCTATGCCGTGTTTTGTGCCTGGCTGCTGCTGCGCAGTGGGTTCTGCGGAGAACCGCTCTGGCTCATACATCTGCGCACTATTGAAATTCCGCTGGTCTGCTGCGGCATACTTCCACCATGCCAGCACATCCCAGCGATGCTGCCACCCTGTTATCATGCATATTCCTTTGACGCTGAACATCGGTTTTGGGCCCACGCGACTTGTTGTGGGGATTAGAGGTCTCTGAGGGTTGCGGTAGGATGAACGAAGCCTCTCGGAGAGGTTCTCTCCATCGCGGGCGAGGTGATCGCCTGCGTCTCTGTGGCACCCCGGCCAACTTTAGGATAGTAATCGAAAAGCACCATTAATAGTTGGATTAGAAGCCGCTTCACTGTGTTCTCGTTGCGCCGGGAAGATGTTTGTCGCCACACTTTCCATCCGGTCAGTAGCAGTCAAGAAGATCATCGTTCCCGGGATGAGTCACATTCATGGTAGCTGTCACAGCTGATAAGTCGTATCGTTGGCCCGTGTTTTTGGTAAGTATTTCTTACCATCGACTTCTATCAGCACTTTGCCATAAACATGTAGCAAAGATCTGAAGCAGCTGGATGCCTTGGCGCTAAGGATCCGCTTTGCAGCGCAGCTCGGCAGAGTTTTGTGGGCACCGCAGGGGAAAAATGTTCAGTTCCGAGCCCCCCTGGCTCCTCTGGAAAGCTTCGGCTTCGTACATCCTCAGAAGCTGTCCATGGCACGCAGCCCACATCGTCAAGAAGCACCCCGACTTCCCAATGCGGGAAGGTGCGTGAGCTGAAGCAGCAGATCTGGGCCCTGGGCGGTCCTGAGGTCCGAGGAGCTGGGAGGGGGGGGAGGGGGGTGGGGGTGGGGGGGGGGGGGGGTGGGGGGGGTGGGGGGGGGGTGGGGGGGGGGGGTGGGGGGTGTTGGGGGGGGGGTGTTGGGGGGGTGGGGGGGGGGGGGGGGGGTCGGAATCAGGAACCGCCGAGGGCCCAAAAACTTCATGTTGAGCCCTTCGGCCAAAAAATGCTAAGCTCTTGCAAAAGAAGACTTGCTGGGCACCCTAAACCCTAAACCCTAAACCCTAAACCCTAAACCCTAAACCCTAAACCCTAAACCCTAAACCCTAAACCCTAAACCCTAAACCCTAAACCCTAAACCCTAAACCCTAAACCCTAAACCCTAAACCCTAAACCCCTAAACCCCTAAACACCTAAACCCTAAACCCTAAACCCTAAACCCTAAACCCTAAACCCTAAACCCTAAACCCAAAACCCTAAACCCTAAACCCTAAACCCTCTAACCCTAAACCCTAAACCCTAAACCCTAAACCCTAAACCCTAAACCCTAAACCCTAAACCCTAAACCCTAAACCCTAAACCCTAAACCCGGACCCTAAACCCAAAACCCTAGGAACTACCCTGAAGCCCTGCAAGTGTGGCTCTCGACGTGGGTGGCAAAAAAGAAACCCTGCAAGGTGCGGCAGCTTCATCTTCTGCTTGGCACCGTTCAGCTCCAGGACTCCAGACAAAAACTGGAGAGAGCCCCTAAACCCTAAACCCTAAACCCTAAACCCTAAACCCTAAACCCTAAACCCTAAACCCTAAACCCTAAACCCTAAACCCTAAGCCCTAAGCCCTAAGCCCTAAGCCCTAACCCTAAACCCTAAACCTAAACCCTAACCCTAAACTCTAAACCCTAAACCCTAAACCCTAAACCCTAAACCCTAAACCCTGAGGGGCATTGCTTTCCGGTTTCGTAACCTACCCTAGCTGTAAGCTCGCCCGAAAAGGAGTGAAGGGTTGTTAAAAAAAAACCCTAAACCCGAAACCCCAAACCCTTGCACTTTCCCGTGGCAGGATGAGCACAGCATTGCCCAAAGTGGCATCGCGGATGGCTCAGACGTTGTGGCCCTGGCTGTCCCAGTGAGCGAGGAGACCAAGAACTACATGTGACCAGACGCAGAGACATACGGGGGGTTGAGGGTTTGGGGTCTAGGGCCCCAAATAGTGGGATTCCCTTAGAATCAGGAGCCCCCAAGAAGAAGGAAGGACTCCCAGGGAGTTCTTATGTTTCTTCAGGGTTGCCTCTGTATCGAGGGAGGAGTTCGGGCTTCTGTGGGGCGGCCTCGCTTCCCTCGGGTTGACCCTCTCATGACTCTCATTTGGGACAGGGGTCTCAGGGGGCCATGCCTTCGATCCCTTTTGCAGGCTTCCGGAAGCTCGGAACTTGCCTCATGGTTTCAAGAGGATCTGGGGTGCCTGGGGTGCCTCGGGTGCCTAAACCCTAAACCTGGGGGGATGTTCCCCCTTATACTCACAGTCCTTAGTAGGGATTATAGTACTCCCTACTATAGTCCCTACTCAGGACTGTGAGTATAAGGGGGAACATCCCACCCCTAAACCCAGAACCCTCAACCCAGAAGTCTGCCTCCAAGTCCTGCGAGCGTAGAGCTAAGGCGTGCCGTGGTCCGCTGTCGGCCGCTGGAAACTGAGGAGGCCCCCTTCGGCCCCCTTCGGCCCCCTTCGGCCCCCTTCGGCCCCCTTCGGCCCTTGGGCTTGTCCTCCGGGAGCCGTTCTTACTAATCTTATTCTTCTTGTCATCTTTTTTGTTATCATGAGTACTAGTATTATGATTCTGACTATCATTATTCGGGTTATTGTGGTTGTTGTATAAGGGTGTGCTTCGGAGCTCCAGTTTTGCAGATCCTAGGTAGGATAAGGGGGGCCCTTAAAAG